TTTCTTCTCTCCGTCTTTTTTTTTTTTTTTTAATTCCAAAAAATTCATTGTGCAAGGAAGATGAGCAATAGCGAACTTCAGCAATCAAACAGCATCATACACATGAGACCAGATAGTCGTGACCTCGGACCAAAAGCAGAATTGCATCACGAGTTTCACCAAATAAGAGCACACCGAAATCTCATAATTGACAATGCTGGAATAGTCTCATCATCATCAAAGAAGAACCAATGTTGATATCCTATCTGGCGCTCGGCACCCAGACTACGAATGGCAGATCCTATCTAGCCTAGACTACAATGCCGCTGATGACGTCAACAGCTTCCCAAGTACGAGCAGACCTTGGCCAATGCCGCATGTGTCAAGCACCAGGTATGTCTCTCGTATCAGTCACAACCTCGTTCCCCAACTCACAGATGCCACTCGCACCCAAGGACCACCATGCGCCCCATCCAGCATACAGCAGTGCAGCTTGGCTATGGCTGCCTGCTCCTTCCAGCTTGCCCTTAGCGCGTGAGCGTGGCAGGCGATAGTGCAGCAGCGCTTGGGCACAAAGCAGCCAGTGCCTGAATGTCCAATGCGTGGGCAGGCCCTTCCCTATATCGAAGTGGCCTGCTGCTGCGTGCTGTGCTGCGGTACTGGGCCCTGGCCCAGAAGTTTCCGGTAGGCCCAGGGAGGCTGAGCCTCAGTCCGAAGGAAACAGGCCCAGAGCCTGAGGCGGTTACCAGCACCCAACTGCCCTCAGCCTTTGTTCGGTCCACTTTGTGTATCCGGCCCACGGCCTGCCTTAGTTACATGCAATGAAAGGCAGCCTGGGCCTGGGTGCGTCCAACCGACTGGCGCTGCGCAACTGTCTGAATTTCCATAGTTGTGTGGTGACCCTGAAATGGCCTGTAGGGCCTCGGTTGTGCCTGCCTTCACTTAGTGCGGCCAACTGTGTGAAAATTGGGCCCTGTAGGGCATATCGAGGCCCTATGCCTCGCAATTGTTTGCTTAAAAGAAAATACGGGGTTGTAGGGTTTGAAAAAACCCAACCCCAATTTTTTCTATTTTCTTTTTGCCTATTATTTTTTATGGGAAAAATCATGTAAAAACGTGGCTGCGGTGCGGCCGACCCCAGCCGCGGATGCGGCAATGAACATGGCCGCCCTCCGAGCCCGACCCCGCGGCTGCGGCCGCGGGGGATACATAGCCTGTTCCCAGGACAGGTCAACCAAGTTTGGTGCCAGAGATGTACCTGGCCTGCTATTTCGGTTTTAGTCATTCCTTTAGTTTTGGCTCATGGGTGTGCCACACTGCTACTGGTTCTTTTTTTTTTTTTTTTTTTTAAAGGCGCTCAGGAGATTAGTTAAAATTGTACCATCCAGGAAGATGAGCATGGCCCCTGCGCAGGTGGACCTAGCTTGATAGGGGAAAGACGTTTAGTATAACTGAGCACAGTCCTAGGACCAGAAAGGGATGAGAGTTCAGAGCTTAATGTCGGTGAAAGAAACAAGCCCCTCAATTGAAAGTGAACTGATCTCAAGGGTTGGGGATTGAGAGGGCTTAATGTCCGCGAAAGAAATAAACCCCTCGAAGTGAGCCGATCTCAAGGGTTGGGGATTGAGAGGAAGGGAAAAAAGTGAGCCGATCTCAAGGGTTGGGGAATGAGAGGAAGGGAAAAAAGTGAGCCGATCTCAAGGGTTGGGGATTGAGAGGAAGGGAAAAACTTAGGCAGGGCAATAAAATAGGGTGGTTTAGAGGAAAGTACCAGTAAAAACAGTCTGCCATGAGAAAGGAAAGGTATACAGATAATACAGCTCAAGTAGAAAGAGGAAGTGGGTTTAGAGTTTAGGGCTTAAGAATAGCACAAGATTTACATTTTTTAGAAACTTGAAACCACAACCGCTGTGAGCAGCGGCCTAGCTCGGTTGGTAAGGCACGCAAGTGGCATTTAGGAGGTCTTGGGTTCAATCCCCATTGGCCTCATGTACCTTCCTGGGCAAGCTTGGCGCCCGCCACCTAGAGATATGCCGTTGGTCCCCCCGAGTGGCACTGAGCAGAGGCTGCTGATGTTCATAGGGGGAGGGGACCGGAGGGGAGGCACAGTGACTGGGCCATCGAAGAAGCTCGGTCCTGATGCTACCTGACCCCTGACCGGTATCGCCCACCTGCTGTAGCAGGTATCGCACCTGCTGGTGGGTGCAGCTCCCTCATGTTCCCTCGTTGGAGGCTTGAGCACGGATGTGGCTGCTACGAGGTTCCCCGTAATACTATAATGACAATAAAAAAGGCCTGAAAGGCCGTCCTGTCCAGATTTGACAGGTAATTGAATTGGTTGGGCTTAAAGAATTAGTGAGGCTAAAAAGTGAGGCTAAAAAAAAAAAAAAAAGTGAGGCTAGCAGTTCGAGTACCTAAAGCCTATGTGTGGTTATGAACTTATGATTGATTGATTGATTGATTGATTGTAACAAAAAAATGAAGAAAAAAGAAAAGATAGATCTATTGATGGATGGATTGATTTCTCTGTCTCTCTCTCTGTTGCGCGCTCGCACGCCGGGAAATGGGTTGAGGGTTTAGGGCTTAAGAATAGCATAAGATTTACATTTTTCAGAAATTTGAAACCACAAGCGCTGCGGGCTAAATGTTTAATAGGATGGTTAGCAAAAAAGTCAGGCTAGCAGTTCCAGTACCTAAAGCCTATGTGTGGTTATGAACTTATGATTGATTGATTGATTGACGAAAAAAAGAAGAAAAAAGAAAAGATAGATTGATTGATGCATGGATTCATTTCTCTCTCTCTGTGTGTTGTGTGTGTGCGCGCGCGCGCACACACACACACACACACACACACACACACACACACACACACACATTTCTCTGTCTCTCTCTCTGTTGTGCGCTCGCACACCCGGAAGTGGGTTGAGGGTTTATAGCTTAAGAATAGCATAAGCTTTACATTTTTGAGAAATTTGAAACCACAACCGCTGTGGGCTAAATGTTTAATAGGATGGTTAGCAAAAAAGCCAGGCTAGCGGTTCCAGTACCTAAAGCCTATGGGTGGTTATGAACTTATGATTGATTGATTGATTAACGAAAAAAAGAAGAAAAAAGAAAAGATAGATTGATTGATGCATGGATTGATTTCTCTCTGTCTCTGTGTTGTGCGCGCACACACACACACACACCTGTCTCTTATACACATCTAGATGTGTATAAGAGACAGGTGTGTGTGTGTGTGTGTGAGAGAGAGAGAGAGAGAGA